AATATTTGGTATCATAATGAGCTAACTGAAATGGCGAGCTCACAGGCAAGTTTATCTGCAACAGCAAAAAATCCTTTGCCTCCAAAAGTTGGCTTCAGCCATAGTTTCCATGAAACCTGCTTCAGAACAGAACTCTTAGAAACTATTAATGTTTTTAATTCTCAAAGGAAGGGAGATAACATCCAATCAGAGTAACTTCATACTTAGCTTGGCTAATGGTCCCTTTGTGAATTGGTCATTTTCAGCAATTTAAAATTGCTAGACTAGCTTCTTTCTGGTTTCCTGCATACTTCTATTCTCTCTTTGAGTGGAAAGGGCTAATGCAGTGGTTCTCAACCTTCCTAATGCCATAGCCCTTTAAGACAGTTCCTGTGGGTTGTGACCTACAGGTTGAGAACCACAGGTCTAATGCATTCTCACTAATATTACTCGTTGATAATGACTTATTAAGTTCATCTGGTGTCATCTGTCACAGAAGGAGGTGCACAGGTCACCAGTGTTTGTGTCCCTTCCAAAATTCATGTGGAAGCCCCAACCTCAATGTGACTATATTTGAACCTAGGGTCTTTAGGAAGGTAATTAAGGTGAAATGAGGTCCTGGGGTAGGGCCCTCATCCTATAGGATTGGTTTTCTTATCAGAAGAGACCCCCGAGACATCTGGAGTTCTCCCTCTCCACACATGCCTCTCACTAAGCAAGAAGGTGGCTGTCTGAGAGCAAAAAAGAGAGCCCTCACTAGAAATTGAATTTGTTAGCATTTTGATCTTGGATTTCCAGACCGCAAAACAGTGAGAAAATAAATGTCTGTTCATTAACCACTCAGAACAGAATTGTGTTATTTGTTACAGCTGCAGAGCTGACTGATAGCCCAGGCAATGTGCAGAGTGCAGCGTGCACAGCCACGCCCTGTTTACCATGTGCTCTCAAACATGCTGTCCCTAAGCTGCGGAGCTGGCACTCTGGTGCTGTAGAAAGAGTCAGATCACTTGCACTTCTTACCTGCAGGATCTTGAGCAAAGCCCTCAATTTCTCTAGGCCTCAGTTTCCTCCTATAGTAAATGTGTATCCAGTTGGTCAACTCCATTCTCTGCACCAAATCTAACAAGACTCAGTATTGTGAAGCCTTTTTCATTTACCACAATGAAACTCATTTCATAATTTTTTGCATGTGTCTGCTAATTTCTAATGTCCAAGAGAAATGGTAAGTGCTAGGGTTTTTTTTTTGGGGGGGGGTTGTTTTGTTTTGTTTTTAATTAAAGAGTAAAATACTAGCAAAATGTCTGTTGTGGTGGTAAAGGCTTTTCTGCCTCCATGCCTCCACTTCCTTAACGCTGGAGTGTTTTGATCAGCAAATCAGTCCACAATGACACTTCTTGGTCTGTCACTGGGTAGGAGCTAACACTGACCTCTGGATAGTGGGGGTTTCCTGTTAGTCTCTTTGGGTCCTTCCAACTCTGCTTTTGTCAACAATTCCAGAAGAATAAACACAGAGCTCATGGATCAGGTTCATTAGGATCCAGAACAGAACTCACAAAAATAATTGTCAGTACTAATTCATGAAGCATCAACTGGTTAATAGTAATACACATATATTACTATATAAAATATATAATATATGCTATCGTATATTACATAATATAAATAGTAATAATTACAATAATGACAGTAATTCAAATAGATGGGAGACTAAGATTGTAAATGTATTATCTCAGTAACTCTTTAGGTGAGATCCCACTATCTCTACAAGCAAAGAAACTGAGGCATAGGAAGGCGAAATAACTTGCCCAAAGACCTACAGCAAGAAACAGCAGCGTAGGTTTGAAATGCTCCTTGGGACTTCCCACTGCATCGTGGTGTTTCTGCAGAATCCCTGGTGCCTATCATCTGGGCCATGGACATTAGTCTGAGTGAGTCTCTCTCTCCTACCCTCCTAAGCAAATAACACTAGCAAAGAGACCTAATGTTGGGGAAGTTTCCACACATGGGCGCAGTACTTGACCACCTCTCCTCAGACCAGACATGCACCACATGTACGTGTCAGCACAGTAGGCCTAGTTCCTTACATTGAACACCTCCATGTGTTGACCAGTTTATTGCAATCCCTTGGGTGGTCAACTTACAGAGGGCTCTACTTGCTGTACTTATAAGTGATACACTAACATGATTTCCCTTAGCAGAAATTCTCCTGAAACCACTTTGTTGTATAAAACCAATCTGCATGGTCTTAATTTAAAAATATAGAAAACGTCCTTCCAAATTGTTTGAATTAACATTATATTAACAAACCCAAGCCTGTATAACCAGCCCCCTGGGAAGGCAGAATGCTGTCTCCTCAGGTCTAAGTGCTACAAAGCAGACAGAGATACTACCTGTTCTCCAAACAGCAAAACAAGCAAAATTCCAAGAGGCTGGCAAGGAAGCAAATCCAGCACAGAGACTGCTCCCTGCTTCTCTCCTGAAAGCACTGGCTATTCTCTTTACTCCCCTGCAAATGAACATCAAATGCCAGTAGCATTAAAGTTGAAGATCCCCATTCCATATAAGCTCTGGATGCTTCCAGAATGTGGCAGCAACACATCCAAAGGTCTGCAAAGTTTGCTCACTACAGGAAGGTGGTGACTCCAGGGGATGGACAGGTAACAGCATTTTGTGGGTGGGGAGGATCAGCACAGGGAAGGCAGTAGAAAATACAAGGAGAGAGGAGGGAATGGACAGACAAGGTCCCAGGCAAGTGAAAGATGTGCTCCAGTGATTAAGAGGAAGAATTTACACTGGGGTAGGTTGGGAGGTGGCATTTGCTTGTTAGAAATGAGAACAGAGAGGAGTGTAAATGTGATCTTTTAAGTAGAAAGAAAGAGACCTGTGTCAGCCTCAATTTTCTCAGAAAAGGAGTGAGAGGGTCGAGTGAAATCTGGTTAAAAAAAAAGATTGAGGTGTAGGGAAAATGCTCAGGACCAAAAGTGAGTTGGAAAGGGCTAAAAGGATTTTAGTCCTTTAGTTTACTTAGTGACCAAGTAGGAGTGGCTGCATTAAGCTGACACCGCACGTGTGCACCCGACTGCCTCCGCAGCCAAGGATGCGGCTCTACTCCACCCCACTGAGTCTGGTCAGCCCGCAGGCCTGACTCGCAAACTGTCTAGGCTTCTGCGATTTCTCCAGGCTTCTGTGATTTCTCATCTATCCTTTGCTTATGAGACAATCCAAGGTCCTGAATGTGACAGACAGGCCTTTCCCTATCTGGCTGCCACTTAAGTCTCCAACATCATTTTCTGCTTTCTGCCATAATGAACTGATTGCAATTCCTCCAGGGAACCCGGCACCTTTCAGTGCTTCTGAGCCTCAAATCACAGGATTCCCCTTTAACATTTTTTTTTTTCTGAATGTCTGGAGAGCAACATTCTTTTTACAAAAGGCTGCCTCCTCAGAGAACCCTTCCAGGTTCACCGTAAAGCAAAACTGATGACTCAGTGTCTCCTTTTGTCAACCTACCTATTATACCCTGAATATGCCTACTAACGTCACATGACGCTATTTCAGCAATTCTGAGATGCATGGGTTTGTCTTGTTTTTCACATTTTAAAAAGCTCTGAAATTAGCTGAGCATATGTCTGTAGTTCCAGCTACTCCATAGGCTGAGGCAGGAGGGACGGCTTGAATGCAGGAGTTTGAAGCTTCCATGTACTATGCTCACACCTGAGAATTGCCACTGCACTTGGTGGTACCAAGAAACCAGCAGAGAAGTCCTACAATGGAGAGCACTCAGTAGAACTGAGCTTGAATTTTTAACTCTCGAGTTGAGAGTGGAAGTGCTTCTCATCTTGGTCCCCCGGTTTGGTGATGTCTAGAGATATTGTTGGTCATATTAACTGTTGGGGGGGGCGGCATGCAGCTGGCACCTGGTGAGCAGAGGCAGGGGTACTGCTGGACGTCCTGTGACACTCAGGACAACCTCCAACAGCAAAGAACTATCCAGGCCTCAAAGCTGCCAGTGCAGAGGCTTAGAAACCCTGGTGTAGAGAGACAATATTTGGGTGTGTAACATGCTTTATCATGTTCAATTTTAAATAACTCTTGTACAGAGCATAGTGCACCATAACATAAAGCAATTTTTTCCAAACCTTGGCTTGTACAGCAAGAATAGCAACTCTTGAGAAGTGTTGTAAGCTTTCCTCATCACCCCTCCTTAACTCCCTTCTGCCAGACTCCCAAGGGGAATAAAGCGGCAATTCTCCTGGTGCAAATGTAAAAGCCAGAAGGTCTCAGCTAGATTTGCGACCTTAAACCAATTGAGTTAGTTAATGGCAAGGCCAGGACTGAAAGGCAGACGCCCAGATTTTCAGGATCCCACTCAGCCCGGGAGGCAGCTGCTCTGTTCCCTGGCTAAACTGGCTAACATAATTTGGGTACCTGAAGAGGAAATTCACCCTGTAAATATGAGCTGGGTGACTTAGCAGGAGTTTAGTATTAGTATTCACGCTTCAACGCCCAGGACACGCGGCTCTCACCCCACTTTTTGAGAAGCTAAGCTGACTCTATAAGGCCCCTGAGCTCTGAGGAGAATTCCATTTATGCAAAAGTAATTGTGATTCATGAATGTGAAGGCACTTTGAATAAACGTAGATGATGTCATTATAGAAAAGGCAGAGGGGACTTAGTAAGTGTATTTAAGGCTTTGGGGGCAGGGTTATTAATTTGGAAGAGCCCGGGGAGCCGTCCTCCACCGCAGGTCCTGTGGAAAGGGCCTTCAACTAGGGCCGGAAACTGATTTATGTCAGGGGAAGGAGTTCCCGGGAAGGTATTCCCAGGGCCTCCCCTGCTGGTTTCTGCAGGCTGACAGGCCCCAGGTGCGCCTTGGAAGAGCCCCCAAAGCGTCACCTCCGCCCTTCCCCCATCCCAATCACAGTGGGCAGCTGCTCTACGCAATGTGCAGCCCCACCCATCCCCACGCTGTCCCGCGGGGAACCCGTGCGCCTCACAGGAGATGGCGCCAGCAGGCTTACCTTTAGGTGGATGGGAAAGGACCGCTCCTGCTGGAGGGGCCCCAGCAGCGTTTGCTCCACGCTGACCAGCTCGGAGGTCGAATCCACAACGCGCGCTAGCGCGCTGCGCATCGCCATCCGGGCCAGGGTGCAGGGCCCGCGGTCCCCGGGTAAAGGCAGCAGCTCCGCGCCTCCCTCGGCGTCGCGCACCACTTCTGCCTCTGGGGAGCTGGCCTGCGCCCCGTCACCCTCGAGGCTGGCCCCCACACCCCTGCCTGCTTCCTCGCGCCCGGGCCCAGGCCGAGTCCGTAGTTGGCTCAAGCGACTGGCTGGGGCGGCAGACACGTGATCCGGCTCCCGCAAGCTCCCTGGCCTGCCCGGACCGTCCCCCCAGCCCCACTCCTGCTGCAGCAGCTGCAGGGTCTGCAAAGCCACCATCTGATGGCTGATGGAGGCCACTAAGGGCGCGGGGCTGGCCATGGCCTCCGCCCGCCGCTTCTTGCGCTCCTTGTGCCAGTGGAGGGAGCGAGAGAGGCTGGGGCTCCGGGGGTCACCAGGGTCACATCTCCTAACCCCAGCTCCTGGGCCTCCCAGTCTCTCAGCGGATGCGGCCGGCCCAGCCCCTAGCCCTCAGTCGGTGGCCCGCAACTGGCCTGGGCCCTAGCTTGGAAAATCGGAATTGGCTTGCTCTGACCTGAGGCTGCCTGAAGCACTCCTGGGTGCGCTCTTGAAAATCAGCCAAATGCTGGGCACTGCTCATTCCTCCTCTCAGGGGCTTTGACTGAAAATGTGCGGCTTTGTGCAGACGTCAGTCAGCAGGGATCCCCGCCCCCATCTCCTTCGAAGGATGCCTGCCAATAACCAGGCAGGTCGGGAGGTGGGGGTGTGAGGACCCATGAGGGGCAAAGCTCAGAGAGCCCTAGTGAAACACACAAAGGGAAGACTGCTGCGTTCTCCCCAACTTCCAACACAAGGGGGATTTTCAGAAACTTCCTGGGGGAGCCTTCAAAGCCTTGCATCCCCCAAACAAAACTAGGAGGACTTGTCTCAAAGTTCTGCTCCTCTCTGCCTTGCTCCACACCCCATGCACCCCGAAAGCCGGTCACCCAGGTGGCAGCAGAGCTGCGGGCTCAGCCTGCCCCTGATGCCCAGGCCTGGCACTGCTCACAGGAGAAGCCTAAATGATTTTGTGTGAAACTCCCAAAGGATTTAGGCAGCAAAGTTGAAGCTAAATCTTTCAAGAGCTGTGAACTCAGAGACAGCTGTACAAATAGTTACTGTTTTTAATTAAACCTAACATGACTACTTGCTTAGCTTAGTGAAAAGAACTGGAATGGGCGATTTTATGCTTTGATAGATTGGAAACCATTGGTGTGTGATTGTATTTAACAAAAAAACAACATTGAAGAGGGAAAGTATGGAGGACTGTCCCCAAGTAGCATCATTTCTGCTTTCCATCTACAGGGAAAGCCCTTAGATAACCCCAGGCCAGAGTACAGGGTACAGAGTACAGAGTACAGGTGCAGGTGCAGGCCCATGGCAGACCCACAGGGACAGTGGGTGATCACAGGAGACATGAGAGCAATGTGGGGGCCTTTAAGGGCTCTTAAACTCTGGGATGGTGTGACCCCATATAATCCTCACCATTCTCCAGCAAAGGTTGCTTCTTGTTCTCTTCACAATGTTTTCTTCGCCTATGAAAACAAACCTGAATGCCAAGATAAAGAAAACTCTTCTTAAACAAAAATGAGTACATTCGCCCTAATTACAACTAAGTAAAAGTGCATGTCTGTGCATTGACAGAGGGGAAATCACTTTGATGGGAAGTAAATAGCTTAATGTTGATTAGATTCTCTTGCCATGAAGTTACCTAAGTTCATAATAAAAAATACAGAGATTTTTCTCTCTCTTTTTAATCCTCAAACGTTGAAATCCATTAGGTTCAACAAATGAATCAGCAATAGCAAAAAAACTAACCTGTAATTTTCACAGAGCCTTTCAGATCTCCAGGGCTGCTCCTCTTTCCAGATACACAGGAAATCCAGTTTCACGGGCTAACCCTTCCACTATCAAATGGCTGACTGCAAAACTTTCTTGACAGATGGAATTCCAGCCAACAGCAGGATTGAAATCACTAGACACAGCCTGACCTGAGGCCCCACTATTCCACATAGCAGGCTGAGTCAGAACTGTAAGACCAAATGAAATTCAGGGCATATGTAAGAAGGGGCCAGAAAACCTTGGGCCCGAGGGATGGTACATGTTGCTTACTTTTTCTAGTATCTTTAGGGAGCACTGGGTCATACTGCAGCAACTCAGGGCTTTGTCTTGGCCATGGGTCACACTGTCCTTTGCATGTTCCGAAGCCATTTTCCTAGGCTATTGAGATGAGCCAATAACATAGCAGATCCACCTTTGGTTTAAAAAACCTCCAAAGCTATGTATGTTGGGCTATCAGACCAAGGTATAAATTGCCAACTCCCTATGTTCTATACTAATGACATAAGACCATTGTGTAATAAAAAGGCACATTCAAAAGGACAAGCCACACTGGACACAGGATGTTTTTGTCTCACAGCATCTATTTCACTGTCTTATGGAAACTGTCCCCTCCCTCCACACTCAGTCCATGCAGTCACGTGAGATGAACCTGTCCCACTGCAGAACAGGACTGGATCCTTGAGGCTGGGGCCATTCCCACATCATGTTCCCATGGTGAATAGTGAGGAATGGGCACATGACCCAGGAAACAGTACCATTTAGGGTGCTTTTGGCTGACTGCACTATAAAAAAACAATGGAACCAATGCACACAGGCCAAAAGAGCAAAGAGATGAAATTAACAGGAAAGACCCAGTTCTCTTTTAACAAGAAAACTCAACATAAAATAGTTTAACCAATAAGAATAATTTATTGTGTCATATCACAAAAAGTCTGAAGGCAGGATAGCGCCAGGTTTGGTTAATGTAGTAGCTCAATGGTGTCCTCAAGGCCTTTAGATCCTCCCACCCTACTGCTACGTGACCCTAAGTGTCAGCTTTGTCCTTGTCTTCGGGCTAGTTCTCCTATGGCCAGTGGACAGCAGCAGTAGTTGCTGACATCACACCTAGAACAGACCTCTTCCTGTGTGTTTCTTCTCAAGAGCAAAGAGACATGTCCTACGAGCCTTCATCTGACTTCCTCTCACATATCCTTGGCCAGAATCATGCCACATGTTCTTGGCTAATCAATCATGGTCATGAGAGTCTTGGGTGAACAGAATTCATTCCAAGATAGGCTGGGTCTAGCCTCCCTTGAAACATTTGGTTCCAGGGAAGACAGAGAACACTTAATATGAATCAAGGCTGTGTCATCACATTCTAGCAGGGGCTTCTGGGTAAAGGGCATAGCCAATTTCCAGAACTTCTCCTTTTCCCAGATACATAGGAAATCTAGTTACATGAGGTTAACTCTTCTATTACCAAATGGCTGACTGCAATGGCCCCTGGGTAAGTGAAGCTGAAAAGAGATAAATTCTGGAGCTTCTACAGGCATCTTGTGAGCCTGACAGGAGAGCCTGCCGAGGAAGGAGCCACTACCCACAAAGAGAAAGCACTCACAAGAGAAAAGCCAGCAGTGCATACAGAGAAAGCAGTGGCCTTACAGCACCATGTGAGCCTTACATTTATCAGCACAAGAAGACAGCCCCACCTCTCCTCTTTTCATTTCTGCAAACCAATAAAGTCTCCTGCTTGAACCACTTGAGGTTGGGTTGATTGCCTCTTGCAACAGAAGGAGTCAGAACTGAAGCAAATGGAGTGGCAAGTGTTACAGGAAGATAGCATGTTAACAGAGTGACCCCATGACCCATGGCCCTAGGACAAAGCTTTGCTGAAAGGTCCCTCAGCCACCTACTTCCAGCAATGCTTTTGGCATTCACCTAACCTTTCTACTATTTCAACAACTATGGGGAAAGCTCTTTGAGCAACTCTGGTTGTTCTGGCAATTGATGGGAGCATTTAAACATGAGTGCTGGAAACATTCAGGACTCTGTGTGATATGGGATGGAGAAGGTAGAGCACTCCCTGAAGTGAAAGGCATTTTTCTGCCTGTTAATGGACAAAGTAGAGTGATGTTCAATAAACGAGTACTCGGGCACTTCTATTAATCCAGTTTCCTTTCCCACGTGAGCCAATGATCTAAGTTTCTATGTGGAATTGTGGACCTGGCAGGAGGCACAGATACAGGGAGCCTGCCTCCAAGGACTTGGCAGAGCCCAGATGCATTTGAGACCTGCTTATGTTCTTTGGCACTTTTCTCTAAAGGGGATCCATGAGAATTCCAGAAATGGAGCTTTTAACCTTCAGTGCACCCTGGTGAAGTTCATAGGTGGGGACAAAACAAAACATATCCAAAGACACCAAAGAGTTATTATTCTTGAATGAAAGTTATGATTGAGGAGAAACAGATGCTGAAGAGATATACCAAGATACAAAAGTACTACAAGAGAGAAAACAATGGATAGACCCAGGAAGGAAAAAGCATAAAAGCTCAAATTCCCTTTCTCGACATACAATTGTCGTGTTTGAATATGCCAAGTCATAAAAATAAACGTATATACTGTTCTAACTTTGGGCTAAACATTTGATTGTCAGAGGGAGAAAAGATGTATCACTGCCCCCAAATTTCTGAATTGCCAAAAACAATTGTTTACATAGGACAGTCTGTTTTCAGGCCACGATATATGCTCTGCCTTCTCAGCTCCTGTGAAGCTCAGGAAGCAATATGAAGCTTAGTGAAGCTAGTTAGTGAAGAAAAATAGGGAAGAGTGAGTAATGGAGGGAAAACAGAAGTCCAAAGCGTTGATCACCCCTGCTGGTCCACAGGTTCTCCGCTGTCTGTTCTCCACTGCTCAACAGAAAATGCATTTCTTTTTGGACATATGAACCATTTTACCTGGTTCTGTCTTAATAGTCAGTTATTCAGTTTCATCTGAATAATCAGTTTATCTTAGAGACGAATTCATGATATTGGCAGATTTAAAAAGTCAAAATTGGATTTTAAAAGAGTCAACAGAATTTTTTCTGATTATTGTAGCTTTGGTGAATCCACAGGTTCAAGGGCAATAGATAACACATATTTTCAAGCTGCCTACACTTAACTTCATCAGGGCAATTTGCTGGATTTTTTACCTCCACTTCTGATCATAAAATTTAACCACTGAAGAGTGTCCTTTTCCTTGGAGGGAAAAATTTAAAAGCTCCTTGGTTTCCTGAACTATTTTGATTATTTGTGTAGATGTGCCTTATAGTATTGAAATGTAGGAGCCAAGGATGCCGCGTCTCCGGCCAGGACCCAGATTAAACCCCTTCCCCAATCCCTTATTGCTAAAGTATTCCTCATAGGTGCCTCCTACATATTCCCCCCATTTTGTGCATTAACTAGGGGATCATAACACTGATCTTCTAAGTGAAATTGTCACGATTCTTATTTCCATCTCTC